CCCCTTTCCCTGTTGAGGTCCTTTCCCCTCTTTCCCCCAAGGCCTTTCCCCCCCTGAGATCTTCTCCCTTTCCTCACTGAGATCTTTCCCCCCCTTTCCCTGTTGAGATCCTTTCCCTCCTTTCCTTCCTAAGGCCTTTCCCCCCGCTGAGATCTTCTCCCTATTCCTCCTTAAGATCCTTTGCCTCCTTTCCCCGTTGAGATCCTTTCCCTTCTTCCCTTTAAGGCCTTTCCAGATCTTTTCCCTTTTCCTTCCTAAGATTGTTTCCCCCCTTTCCCTGTTGAGATCCTTCCCACCCTTTCCCGCCTAAGGCCTTTCCCCCCTGAGAGCTTCTCCCTTTTCCTTCCTTAGATCTTTCCCCCCTTTCCCTGTTGGCCTTTTTTCCCCCAGATCGTCTCCCTTTCCTCCCTAAGATCTTTCCCTGTTGAGATCATTTCTCCCCTTCCCCTCTAAGGCTTTTGTCCCCAGATCTTCTCCCTTTCCTCCCTAAGATCTTCCCCCCCCCCCTTTCCCTGCTGAGATCCTTTTCCCCCTTTCCCCCCTAAGGCCTTTCCCCCCCCTGAGAGCTTCTCCCTTTTCCTTCCGAAGATCTTTTTTCCACCTTTCCCTGTTGGGCTTTCCCCCCTAAGTCCTTTTCTCCAAAATCTTCTCCCTTTCCTCCCTAAGATCTTCCCCCCCTTTCCTCCCTAAGATCTTTCCCACCCTTTCCCTGTTGAGATCCTTTCCCCCCTTTCCCTCCCAAGGCCTTTCCCCCCCCTGAGAGCTTCTCCCTTTTCCTTCCTAAGATCTTTTCCCCCCTTTCCCTGTTGGGCTTTCCCCCCTAAGTCCTTTTCTCCCAGATCTTCTCCCTTTCCTCCCTAAGATCTTCCCCCCCCCCTTTCCTTCCTAAGATTGTTTCCCCCCTTTCCCTGTTGAGATCCTTCCCACCCTTTCCCCCCTGAGGCCTTTCCCCCCCTGAGAGCTTCTCCTTCCGTAGGTCTTTCCCCCCTGTCCCTGTTGGCCTTTTTTCCCCCAGATCTTCTCCCTTTCCTCCCTGAGATCTTTTCCACCCCTTTCCCTGTTGAGATCATTTCTCCCCTTTCCCCCCTAAGGCCTTTGCCCCCAGATCTTCTCCCTTTCCTCCCTAAGATCTTTCCCCCCCTTTCCCTGCTCAGATCATTTCCCCCCTTTCCCCCCTAAGGCCTTTCCCCCCCTGAGATCTTCTCCCTTTTCCTCCCTAAGATCTTTTGCCATTTTTCCCTGTTGAGATCCATTCCTCCTTTCCACCCCATTTCTCCCTCTGAGTTTTCCCTTTTCCCTACGATGTTTTCCCCCCTCTCCCTGTTGAGATCCTTTCCCTCATTTCCCCCCTAAGGCCTTTTTTCCCCCCGCGATCTTCCCCCTTTTCCTTCCTAGGATATTTTCCCACCTTTCCTTGTTGAGATCCTTTCCCGCCCTTTCCCCCCTAAGGCGTTTTCCCCCCCAAGGTCTTCTCCCTTTTCCTCCCTAAGATCCTTTGCTTGCTTTCCCTGTTGAGATCCTTTCCCCCCTTTCCCCCCTAAGGCCTTTCCCCCCCTGAGATCTTCTCCCTTGTCCTCCCCAAGATCTTTTCCCTTGGTTGAGATCCTTTCCCCCTTTCCCCCCGAGATCTTCTCCCTTTTCCTCCCTAGGATCTTCTCCCACCTTTCCCTGTTGAGCTCCTTTCCCCCTTTTCCCCCTAAGGCCTTTTCAGATCTTCTCCCTTTTCCTCCCTAAGATCCTTTGCCCCCTTTCCCTGTTGAGATCCTTTCCCCCTTTCCCCCCTAAGGCCTTTTCCCTGCCTGGGACCTTCTCCCTTTCCTCACTGAGATCTTTCCCCCCCTTTCCCTGTTGAGATCCTTTCCCCCCTTTCCCCCCTACGGCCTTTCCCCCCGCTGAGATCTTCTTCCTATTCCTCCTTAAGATCCTTTGCCCCCTTTCCCTGTTGAAATCCTTTCCCCCCTTCCCTGTAAGGCCTTTCCAGATCTTCTCCCTTTTCCTTCCTAAGATTGTTTTCCCCCTTTTTTGTTGAGATCCTTCCCACCCTTTCCCCCCTCAGGCCTTTCCCCCCCCTGATGAGAGCTTCTCCCTTTTCCTTCCTTAGATCTTTCCCCCCTTTCCCTGTTGGCCTTTTTTCCCCCAGATCTTCTCCCTTTCCTCCCTAAGATCTTTTCCACCCCTTCCCTGTTGAGATCATTTCTCCCCTTTCCCCCCTAAGGCCTTTGTCCCCAGATCTTCTCCCTTTCCTCCCTAAGATCTTTCCCCCCCCCCCTTTCCCTGCTGAGATCCTTTTCCCCCTTTCCCCCCTAAGGCCTTTCCCCCCCCTGAGAGCTTCTCCCTTTTCCTTCCTAAATCTTTTCCCCCCTTTCCCTGTTGGGCTTTCCCCCCTAAGTCCTTTTCTCCCAGATCTTCTCCCTTTCCTCCCTAAGATCTTCCCCCCCCCCCTTTCCTCCCTAAGATCTTTCCCACCCTTTCCCTGTTGAGATCCTTTCCCCCCTTTCCCTCCCAAGGCCTTTCCCCCCCTGAAGATCTTTTCCCCCCTTTCCATGTTGGCCTTTTTTCCCCAGATCTTCTCCCTTTCCTCCCTAAGATCTTTTCCACCCCTTTCCCTGTTGAGATCATTTCTCCCCTTTCCCCCCTAAGGCCTTTTTGCCCCAGATCTTCTGCCTTTCCTCCCTAAGATCTTCCCCCCCCCCCCAGCTCCCTGTCGAGATCATTTATTTCCCCCCTTTTCCTTCTAAGGCCTTTTCCCACCCTCAGTTCTTCTCCCTTTTCCTCCCAAACATCTTTCCCCCCCTTTCCTCCCTAAGTCCTTTTCCCTGAGTTTGTCTCCCTTTGCCTCCCTAAGATCTTTTCCCCCCTTTCCCGCTTAAGATCCTTTCCCCCGTTTCCCCCCTAAGGCCTTTTCCCCCCAAGATCTCCCCCCTTCTCTTCCCAAAGTCTTTTTCCCCCTTTCTCGTTTGAGATCCTGTCCCCCCATTGCCCCTTAGGGCCTGTTCCCCCCGAGAAAGATTTCCATTTTCCTCCCAAAGATCTTTGCCCCCCTTTCCCTTAAGGAGGAATAGGGAGAAGATCTCAGCGGGGGGAAAGGCCGTAGGGGGGAAAGGGGGGAAAGGATCTCAACAGGGAAAGGGGGGGAAAGATCTCACGGAGGAAAGGAAAAAGATCCCAGGGAGGAAAAGGCCGTAGGGGGGGAAGTGGGGGAAAGGGAGGAAAAGGGAGAAGATCTCAGGGGGGAAAAGGCCTTAGGGGGGAAAGGGGGGAAAGGATCTCAACAGGGAGAGGGGGGAAAACATCTTAGGGAGGAAAAGGGAAACATCAGAGGGAGAAAAGGCCTTAGGGCGGAAAGGGGGAATGGATCTCAACAAAGAAAGGGGGGGCAAAAATCTCAGAGGGGAAGGGGGCAAGGGGACAATTCCAAAGGGACGCAAATAAGAAAGCAGGCCTGTAATGTCGGCGGCCTGAGCCGGAGGCACTAAAATTAGGCAATACTGAACCAATTCAAAGCAAGCAAACTTTGCCCAACTCCAGTCTTCGGGACAATTTAGAACTAATATACTAAGCCAATACTAAATCAATACTAAACCGATACTAGACCACTTCAAAAGCAGCAAATTGTCACGTTGAACGATCTTGGTGCCCGGAAAGCGGAGCAAATTTGGACAAGGACCGTAGCGGAGCCCCTCCGCGGCACAAATGTCCCCCAAACTTTTAAAAGTATCGTTCAGTTTTTCAGGGGCATAGACAGTCTCGCAGACTTGTAGCTGATTGGGTGTGAAATTCAATCGGGGACCCTTTCGTGGGCATCATGCGGAGAAAAAACAAACAAACATTGAAGCTCATAGCCATATAGCGAACCCACCGCCCTTTGGGGAACCTATATAGTTGGAGCCCTGGCATTCCGAACGGAACTGTAGTTCGCAGTTGGTTCTACACCCCTCTTGTTGGGACCCCCCCCCCCCCCCCCGCGCACCAAAAAGAACCAAAAGGAACAACAAAACAAGACACATGCAAAGACACACACACACGCACAGCAAAACCAGAAACACCGCAACACACCTAAAGACGAAGTCGGGCCCTTGAAATGGGCCAAAGAAGAAACCTAAGGCCCCCCCCGTCTTCAAAGGATGCCCGCCTCCAATGGAGGGGGCCCAAAGTATTGGCTTCGGCAAAAAACAAGCGTGCGCTCAATTCCCGAGAAAGACGCGCGCATGCCTTGAGCCTAAATTTCATTGCCCCTGAGACCTCCCCTGAGCTCGTCGGTTGACCTGAGGTTGACTGTGGCGCGCTCCAGAAGGACATGTTATCCCCATGGCGCGCTCCAGAAGGACATGTTATCCCCAAAACCAACCAATCATGCTTGACTTTCAAGAGATACACTCCCCAAAGAAAAACAAATCCAACTCTGTCACTACTGTAAATGTCATGTTTTCCCTTTTTGGGGAATGGTTTCAACCCGACTGCGGGGTCTTTGGGACTTGCGCCTGGGTGAGTGACATCCTCGCACAGATTCTTATCCAGGTGCAAACTCAGCAAAATCACAGAAGTTATTCTGAGAAACCCGGCAAAATCCAACCACTTCGTTGCACCAAGCGATGTTGAAATCACGACACATAAAAAGCTCAATCCGGAAAAACAACAATTGAAAAAGTGTCGGAACACCCACGTTGGCTTGAAGGACCCGTTCAGCTCGCAGCTCACATGTTTTCCGGCGAAGCTCGGGCTCCCGGGCTGGATCTCAATGAGCTGCTGCAGCAGCTGCGGCAAGGACACGGTGACCTGCCCGCTTCGGCGTATGGAAGACCCAGACCCCGAAATTTGGGACGCCCCAAACAACGGGGTTTGGGGGGGTGAAAATCTGGCTGTTGGGGGCCTGAAATACATCGGGAGAAAGGGAAAGCACCCATGGTTTGACTGAATGAAAGAAAGGACATGATCATGTCCAGGTCGCCCGCTCTTGGTTGCCGATCAAATTGAAATGTGAGAACATGGAAGCCAACAATCCAATCCACCAATGAAAGGGATGCTGAATGAATGTGCCCCCAATTGGTGATTTTGATTTGGTGGTTTGGGCGCTAGGAGTACCTTCCCCACAAACGGATCTGGGGTCTAACTCCCCAGGCCACCGATCCAAACCACCAACTAAGGGGAAGCTCAAATTGTACAGCATACCCAATGTCCAGGGTCTCAGGAAAAAACTCACACAACAAGGCAACCTCTTGTGGCGCTCACTTGCACTACAAGGTCTTGTCCAGAAATCGCAGTCCTCATTTTGGAACCATGCGGGTGTGCCGCCTCCTCCTCCTCCTCCTCCTCCGTGCGCAGTGTGGCAGGTGTACATATTATTTGGCGTGCGCAGTGTGGCGGGTTCGCGTATCATTTGGCCAGCTGGTGCGCAGTCCCCTGCACGCCGCAATGTGGCGGGTGTGCTCATAATTTCGCCAGGCCGTCAAAGTACCAAAACGTGAGGGTCGTTTAACAGCGACGTAGGCAAAACGAAACGGTTTATGTTTTTCCTAGGTTCGGCGCGGCCTTTCTTTTCCTAGGTTCGGCGGGGCGGTCCCGATCCAGAAAAGCTGCAGAGGATTCACTTCTTCGATCAAGCACAATGGGGTGGGTTTGGGCTGGGCTTGAATTTCTTTAGGGTGTTGTTGGCTTGGTTCAGGGTTGGTTTGGTGCTGGTTTAGGGTGGGCTTAGGGTGGGCTGGTGTAGTATGGATCCAGGGTTGTTTCAGGGTTGGTTTCGGGTGGTTTTGGGTTTGCATAGGGTTTGCTGGGGTTGATGTTTGGTGGTTTTAGCCCTGGTTTACGGTGGGTTTAGAGTTGGTTTTGGCTGGTTCAGGGTTGGTTTAGGGTGGTTTAGGGCTGGTTTTAGGATGGGCTTAAGGTTTGGGGATGGTTGAGTTGGTTTGGTGGTGGTTTAGGATTGGTTTAGGGTTGGCTTCGAGTGCGTTTAAGGTTGGTAGGGATTGTTTCGTGCGCTGGTTTGAAAAGGGTGGGCTTAGGTTTGGTTCAGGGTTTGCTTAGGGTTCGTTTGGGGTTGGCTAGGGTTGGTTTCGGGTTGGTTTAGGTTCTGTTTCTCGGCTTCTTCAATGCGGATTTAGCGTGGGCTTAGGGTGGGTATTGATGTGCGGTTTACGCTGGGTGTAGGTGGGGGTTTAGAGTTGGATTAGGGTGGTTTAGGGATCGTTTAGTGGGTTTGGGGGTTGTGGTAGGCTTTGGCTGGCTCATGATGCTGAAGTACTGGTTTAACGTGAGTTTAGGGGTGGGTTTAGGGGTGGGTTTAGGGTTGATCGGTTCAGGGTGCTGGTTTGGGGTGGGTTGCAAACACTTTCCTGCAAGTGATGCTAGCTGAGAATGTGGGAAGGCAAAGCTACAACAAACAACCGCCAAACGCCACAAAAGCACGCAAAAAGCCGCGAAAGCCAAAGAAGCACTGCCCACCGACGACCGACCGACCGACGGACGGACGGACGGACGGACCGACCGACCGGGGACCCGTCCACGACCCAGCCCGCCAAACCTAGGAAGGAAAAAAACTCGGGGGCCCTAGGCAACAACAAAGAGAAAACACAAAATCCCCCTCCTAACCCTCCCTTCTGTGCCGCCGGCCGCAAAGCGGAAGGAGAGGAACTGCTCCTGGCTTCATCGGCGGCTCGGCGCGACTTCTCGTCATTCAGTGAACCCAAAATTGATAGGATCCTTTTTCAACATCATAGGTCCTTAGGGTGGTCAAAAACGAATTGTCTGGACCTTCGCAAAACAGGACAAAAAAGAAGTCCAAAGCAATGTCAGAATCAAGGTGCTGCTAACATGCAATAAACTCAATTATCCTATAGACATGATATACCTCGATCTACAAATGAGAAAACATGATTCTTACCAATCCTTTATCAAACAACTCTTGGAGGACCTTCGTTTCAACTTTTCGGGTTCAAAATGGAGAACCCTCTTGAATGCTTGGGCGTCCTTTTGGCTTCCTGTTCAAACCAACCTCACAAGGGGGTACCCTACAACAACACAACTCCATGGTGTTTCTCAAATGGATTCCCAGCCGGAAAGCAACTATTCTAGGAGACTGTTTTGAAACCATATAAGGTTTAAAAGCCCAACATGAATTACAGCGCACACGTTGACTCTCTACTTGGATGTTCGGCCAAGTAAGTGGATAGTAACCAAGGTTGCTAACCTACTTACAACCAGCCCATCTCACTCATGAGCAGGATTTAACTAGGTGACTAACCTCTTACTGACTTGGCCGCCCACCCAAGTACCTTCCTGGCTAACAGACGGACTCCCCCCAAAAAAAAAGAGAAACAAACAAACAAATCACTACTGGCTGCTGCTTGGAAACCTGCAGTTTGCTAGTCTGCGATCCGCTGTTTTGTGGGAAAATAGACTGCCTGCTCATTTGCGACCGGCCCATTAAAAAGACCCAGCGAGGATACCCTCTTGAAAGGGGTGGGGTCACCCAGTTGGGTCCCAACGAGTACGTTCCCCCATGTTTTCCTCTTGGTCGAGTCTTTCTCGAGTCAGCGCCTTGCCTGCGTCTGGGGGTCGAAGCCCACGTCGACGCCATAGCTCTGGGCATTGAAGCTCACATTGATCGGCCCCTCCTGGAATTCGAGTGATAAGGAAACCCGATGACCCGGGATCCCAAACAGGGCTGTGAAGAATGACCACTTCTGTGATACAACAGAAACGGCTTCCCAAAGACTATTTTGTTAATATGAAGGGGGATTTCCTTGTATCACAGAAGTGGGGAGAAACCCCTTGATCTTTTTAATTTTTTTGGAGGGTTCCGCTCGACTGGGCGGGATTTTAACCGGAAACCAAAAGGACACTTTTCTTTGCATGCCCTTTGGGCAGTTGCTAAGGGCAAAAGAAACATAACCGCCATTCTACCCTTGTGTTACTTGGTCAACCTTCAACCCTAAACCTAGGATATATGCTCTTGGGTCAGTTTCGTCGCCAGCCTTTTCAGGTTGGAGCTCAAACTCGCTGCTTCCCGGTCCACATCTTGTACAACATTTGAACCCCAAGTACCCCCCCTACTAACAGCCCTCAATGCCCTCTGTTTAAAGTGTGTTTTTGAAAAACCTGGTTTTCCATAGGAAATACTTCCTTTTGGAGTAAAGGGATCACACAATACCCTACACAAAAAGTGCTTGGAGTAGGAGTAGGGGGAAGGCTCAGAAGCGCTCGCAGCTAACTTAAGTGCAACCATTCAGAGGTTTATCGAAAAAGGGCACCCCCTTCGGGTTTTCCCTAAAGGCGGCACACGCCATGGGGGTTTTCCAAACGCGCCATACTGCGACCCCCCCGCCCTGGCCCCCAATAGTCCCCACCAAAGCGGTCTGGGTTTTCTGAACACTTCATTCACCTCGCCTGCACCATGACGACAAAGCCGGATCGCGCCAAGCGCGCGTGGCTATCAGCAAAAGTCGCCCCTCTCTGCAAGGCGTGTATTGTTGTTGCCCCGTGTGCTCCAACAACGGCCGAACCTTGTCGTCTGCCCCAGTCTCAAAACTTGCGCAATCCACAACCCGCTTCAAAGCTGCAAATGGGACCCTTGCTTCAGCTTTAACAGGTGTCCCAAGGCGAAATTCCTGAAAGACATGCCATCGCGAAATCTGCTTCGAGCACTCAGCAACGGATGCCGGCAAGGGGCGAAGCCGTGAGCCAAGCAATATTGAGAATGTTTAAAATGAACGGGCACCCTCATAAGAAGACAGACCCCCGCTTGTTTGCATTGGGCTTCCGTGTCCCCCATCTCCTCCCGAAATGGGCCATAGACTGCCAATCTGTTTCTTGGCATGTTGCTCATTCGCGCCAGTAAACCTGGTAGGGTCCTCAGATAAAATACAAGAGACAAAGCCAACTTGCAGATGCTCCCGCCCCATCATCGTTGGTTTTGCTTTTCTTGACCATATTGGTGGATTCCGAGGACCCTGGATGCGAATAGCAGTGCATCAACTCCAAGCTCTATCCGGCCCTTTTGCACATACGCCTACGCCTCACGACATCTGCCCTGTCCAGCAACTGCCTGTCCTGGAGAGCCCTAGCTGCACTTCGCACGGGCAAGAGTCGGGACGAGCAGAGCGAATTCAAGTGAACCATCGCAACTCCTTGCGAGCGACTCCCCTGGTTTTTGCAGGGGAAATTTGGAGCTCGCAACTTTTCTTTGTCGAGAAGTCAGATGCTGCCATGTGATAGGGCAACGCGCGATCGCCAGGGTTCGGACTCCGAGCACTTGCAGATTGAGTTGAATCTCGTGGACTTTAGGAAACAGGCTGATTGACCAAACTCCTTGACACGCACGGGAAAATGTCCCGAACGAGGACTCCGAAGGTCGCGTCACATCTCAGCGGGACAAATCACGCAACTTGAGATGTTGCAGTCCCTCCCATGGAAATTGACAGGGACCCCGTCCCTCAAGGAATTTCTTCCATCGCTATATACTTGCTCGCACCTGCAGGGAAGGAGTCACGGGGTTTTGCAGGCGCCATGCTCGCTTCGGGAAGCGAAGCCAGCGCCAAGCGGGATCGCAAGATTTCCGGGGCCTCTCGGAGGCGTTCCATGGCTCCCCAAAAAGAAGAACTCCTGGAAATCGAAAAGCTGCAGGAGTGGAAACGAGTGACGCTCTGCAGTTTTTTGTTGGATCCAATGCATGGAAAACGTGGAAAGAACTAATGGAACACAAATCATCGGTCAGTTTCAACACCAAAACCTTAAGGCCTGGGCAGAAACGGGCTACTTTTGCTTCGAATCGGGCTGCAAAAAGCGGGGTCGCCTTTGCAAACCCATAGGCGTGAGGAAATCGATTCCTGGGGTGCATGAGAGTTGCACCGGGGAGTGTTTTCCATTTCAGTTGCGACGCCCAGAGAGAAAAAGCCAAGCTTCGGCAGGAAACAACCCACGGGAAATCCGGTTTGAACGTTTGTCAAGTTCAACCTCTGCGCGAAAAAAGTCTTTGGACCAAACTTCTCGCAATGGCGGGACAATTGGGGGTTATTGTGTTACTCTGATCACCCTATCCCTAATTGGTGATTAGATCTGATGCTTTAGATGAAAGGGGCCAGGCTCGCCATTTGTTTTCAAATGGGGCTGGCTTCAACCAACGCGATCAAGAGGTGCCTTAACTTCAAGAGCCTCGGACCGGCAAACATGACCACCCGGTTTACGTTTGCCAAGGCCTTGGCGGCTGGGGCCTTTGGTGGCTTGGTGGGGTCCCTGAAACACAGCTTCATCAATGGGGGTCATTCCGGTTTTTTGCTTTCCCGGCTTCTTAAGAAAACCTTTGACAAAGCTCCCCGGACTCGACGACTCAATCTGCCAGCTTCACTGCGACAGGATTGGGCGATTCCATTTGAAACACGGGCCTGCGGTTTTTTGAGGGCACCCGTGCTCAGGTTTCCTTAAAGGGAAACCCAAGGGAACCTATTTCAACACATACCGATGATCCAACACCACTCTTGAGTCACTATTGCAGGGCCGTTGCCAAGGAGCTTCATCCGTCTTTTGGGGAGACGGCTTCTCGGGTGCCCTAAAATTGGAAGAGGGCGCAGTTCGATGGTGCTTGAGGAACCAAAATGAAACCAAAGACCCCATGTCAATACAGGGTTCCGCTAGTCGTCTTTCTTTTCGAGTCGAATCATGTGCTTTGAACAAAGCCAACTCTTGCTGGGGCTGCCTTGCGGTGACTGCACATCACTTTTCTCCAGGGTCCATCTGAGCCATACTCATGGTCATGCACCCCTTAGTAGGAACCGTTACGATGCTATCATAATTCCCTATTGCGGGGTCCATGACCGGCCCGCGCTTGGCCCAAGTACCGCCTTTCTGCGTGCCAAAGACTTCCATCATTGGACAAGCAGGAGCCCTATGTCCAAAGGGGAAATCAGCATAAGAGGTTGCAGTTGGAGGGGTCCAGCAAGGGTCCGGCAACCCACCGATTGTAAACACACCCATTTTTGAGCCACGCTTCACAACCAGCACATGCGGCAGCGGAAGCTGGGGCAAGCCGTCTTAAGGATGCAGCGTGTGGAGTGACCCACGAGTGAAAATTGCAGCACCCCAAAAGCCGTGTTTCACTGGAGGCTCGCCACACCCGACTTTCGCCCAAACCATGCCACGGAGCCGTTGCGTGCGAGGGCGCCCTTCAAGCACAATCTGCTTGGAGGCGCAATCCCTGGCCTAGGCGAAATGCCTGACCGAGTCCAAGCCCCTGGCACTGCGAAGGCTGTGTCTGCGGAGAGCGGCAGCATTGACCCCAAGCGGTCTTGGCAGAAGTGTCGTGAGGGCACAGATGAAGCCAAGACAGCACGGCTCACAACACCTTCGAGCCTCACAGCTGCTCTCCAGCCTCTGCTCTAGGGAACCATGCGCTCAATGGCTTGCGTCATCCTCTTGCTCGACCCTTCGCAAGTCTGTTCGGTTCTCGCTGGAGGGAGCTATGGCGCTATGGAGCTATGCGCTCAGAGAATTGCATTTTCTCGTCCGACTTGAAAAGTTTGGAGGAGTGACCCAATCAGAGCAGCCGAGATTTGAACGAGACACGCCCCTCCCCGAGCATCTGACTCTCCTGTGGCCCAAAGCCAATGGTGCAAACGCTGGGATCGGTGCTGGGAACGGCGAGCGCTTCGTTGCCACAAAAAACGATGTGTCGAGGGACGCAGCCCCGGAAACCCCTGAAGCGGTTGCTGCGCCGCGCTTGCAGCCTTCAAGTTTGCTCACAGAAGCTGCCAACCCCCTGGCATGTTTTAAAGTACGCCACAACCCGATTCTTAGTCTAAGTATTTCAGTTCCTTGTAGAAATCAGGGTTGGGCAGACTCTGCTTAAATGACGCGGTTGTGGAGGGGGCGGTGCTCGCTAGAAACCCCCGGGTCGGCATCGCAGCAACGGCAATGACCGGGATGCAGTGTGAATCAAGCAGTGCGTCCCCAGTACGGGGTCAAGCCTCTGCGCAACACTGGCATCTCTCCGTGATTCTGTTCTGCGGTTTGAACGCATTCCACCAGGCGTGATCGAGCCAGAACTAGGCGAAAGGTAAGCCAATCAAAAACTGCTTCACCAGCAAAGCAGACTACTCGCAAGTTGTGTCCCGCGTCCCGACTGATGAACATCAACTGCACGGTGACCGGTCCCAGCCGTTCCGCAAACAGTTCCGCGCATGGGGTTTGCAGCGACCCTTGGTGGTGTATGGGGGCCAAGAGGCGGCTGTTTTAACAATCAATAGCCGTCCTGGCTTAAATCCTGGTTTCAACAAGGGTAGAGCATTGATAAAGCGGGACAACTCTGAGTGCGGTGAACTGAGTCAAGCTCGACTTGGCGTCCGGATGTGGGTGCTCTGCTACCTGCAGCGATGCTTGGACTTGGAGCAGCTAGACCAGAAGAAGGTGAGCCCACGTGCTGCACCGGCAACTTTGGTATGAACAGCGCGGACGCATCCCGGGAAAGCGCGTTAAGAAACGCAGGAAGGACAGAGTTGCGGACAACTGCGCCGCAAAGCGCCACGCAGCCAACGGGGCCTTCCCGGCTCGACTCACGGGACCTAATTTGAGATTTCTATCCTCGCCGGATGAGAGCCTTCTTGACTGCGCATACTGCAGGAACTCTGCTGGTGATGCTTTCAGGCACCCCCGCCTTCCTGCCTAAGGCAATGGGCTAGGCAAACCGACACCAGATGCCAGCCTCAACAACACACTGGAGCCTCAGCTTTCGCTTGAGAACAGAGATGCGCTGCACTTCTTCGATGGCGCAGACTTGCATTGGCCACGCGAAACTGCACTGAGCAATTCGGGAACAGTGGTATCAAATAGCTGCGGGCTGGGAACTATCTGCAAGGCCTTTGACCAAAACTCCCACAACTTTTGCAAACTTCGGCAAATCCGAAAAACATGCAGTTATCATGGTCAAGGCATCCCATGCAGATCACTGGCACATTTTATCACTCATCCCACCTCCAATCATAGATTGGGGGAAGGGAGCATCTTTTACTTTTGGTTGCATTCATAATTATCTGGGATTCTACGGTCAGACCAGTCTTGGAAGGACTTCTATATCCACAGCTTTCCATCTCCTTAATTGCGCGGGGGCCCTGATTGGCGCTCTCGCTCAGCCCGGGCCCCATCCACCCTGTTGATCCGAGCACTGATTGATTCACGTTGGTCTGAGTCAAACAACATGCATAGCGGGTGAGATTGAGCGGGGTAAGCAACGTCTCTGACCTGACTGGATCTTGCCACGGCCGGGTCATCTGACGTGTGTGACAACTTTTGTCTCTTCGATCCAGCGTCAGATTGTTGAGCAGGCTCAGTCTCAGGAGAGCCAGGCCTCACCGTCAGCGGCGGCATGGCAAAAGAAGCGCGTGTAAATGTAAACCACCTTGTCAGTAAAGTCTCCTTGAGCAAGCCTGCGTCTGCGACCAAATGTTATCTCTCTCAGGATTGACTGTACTGAGGCTCCACCCCCAAGTGGAGGCATGATGACCAAGCTGTCATTGCTTTGGCAAGCAACGCGAGCTGCAACTCGTAGGTCTTTTTGCCCAAATTGTAGCAAAGCCACTGGAAGTCGGTAAATCGTAGGGGTCCTGAGTTTGAAGGTCCAGGAGCTTGTTTCCAAGTCTCAAGCTGCGATGGCATCACAGACCGAACACTGCAGCATCGCTTTCACATGAGCAAGGGCCAAAATCGGTCATCAAGCTGGGAAGAGGACACAGGTAATTCGGAGCGTCCCCTTTCAGTTTTCAGACTCTAGACGGCTTAAAGGGAAACAACCCCCTAAACGTATTTGTGGAATCCTTCAAAATCTTCACGGTAATTGAGCCCAGGGTCGCGCACAAATTCCACATAGAGGGTGTGGATCGTGAGAACAGGTTGCCTGCAAATCCAAGCATGTTCTTCCTTACTTTAAAGTCAAGCACTAATCAATTCCAAATTTGCTGGCCGCGTGGGAATACTAAGGGCGTTAGCCGCCCTATCGTTCGGGTCGCTGGGGTGTTGGTTGGACAAGGCTGCCCTTTCAGAACACAACGCGCTTTCCCAAGCCATCAAAAGGCTTTCACTCAAGATCAAACCCGGCGCTGAGGGTCTCTTCCCCAGCTGCCTTGTCCGCATCTTCAAGGGCTGCTTGAGTTGAAAGAGGGCCGGATTGTCACAACCTGCCTCTTGGCACCGAAACGGAAGCAAGCAGGCAAAACAGGCACACAGCTCAACAGCGCAGCCAGCTGCTGTCCACATGCTGTTGCAACGTGTGATGTTTCATTAATTTAGACGCAGCCGTAGGCAAAAAAGTTATCCAACAAGTCAGCAGCCGTGCTTTCCTTGGTCCGAGCACCCGCTGGGCCAGCAGAGTTTCCCTTTTACCCCTACGCATGTGTGACCTGCTTGGCGCAGACTTGCATTGGCCACGCCAAACTGCGCTGAGCAATTCTGGAACAGTGGTATCAAATGGATGCGGGCTGGGAACTATCCGCACGGCCTTTGACAGACTGAAGGAAGCTTTGCGGGGGTCAACGACTTAATGCAGGCTGCAATGCAACCTGTCCAAACATGCAACCACCAGAACAAACACGTGCAAAACTCCCGCAACTTTCGCAAACTGCAGCAATTCCGAAAAAAAAAAACATGAGAAAACATACAGTTTTTATGGTCAAGGCAGCCCATGGGGATCACTGGCACACTGGCAAGCACCGCGAGCTGCAACTCGTATGTCGTTCTGCCCAAATTGTGGCTAAGCCACTGGAAGTCGGTAAATCGTAAGGTCCAAAGTTTGAAGGTCTGCCCCCAGCACAAACAAACAGTTTCCTGCCGGACGACTTGAGATCAGTTAAGCAGCCCTCAACTCGCATGTATTGAGATAGCGCCCGGCTCAAAGCACTCAGCCTCTGGGGGCCTCATGTTTAAAAGTCGGCGCTACGCAGAATTGCTAGATCCTGCCATAATATCCAAGCTTCAGCGCAGAGACATGTGGGCCAACACGCACACAGGCGGATTCCTCCGATCCCTGTGTTAGGAACTTTGCGATGTACCAGCGCCCGCTTCCACAAGCACGGTTCCGTCAATGGCCAATAGATGGGTGCTTTGACATGCAGCAGCCAAAAGCTTGTTTCCAAGTCACAAGCTGTGAAGTGTCACAGATTCCACTCGCAGGAAACTGCAACATCATTTTCCAATGGAGCCAGGACTCGATTGGTCTGATCACAGCCCGTCAACTGTCAGAACGGACTGCAACAAAAAAAGGTTGAGCACGCCAAGGACACTTGCTTCAAGATCGCAATCTGGAGCAGCTTGAAGGTTTGATCTGCACATCCACTCTCCGAAGCCATCAAAAGCCTTCACTGATCAATCCTGGCGCTGGTCTCAGCGCGGCTTGCGAACCCCGGCCGAAGATCGCGACCAAAGGGCTGACCAACTCCTCGCCGTTTTACGTGACACACTTAGAATCACCAACTTGCCTCAAGATGCAATGTTGTGTGACAATTGGTTCAAAAGGCGCAAAGAAATTAGTCGCAAAGACTGGTATGATACAGGTGAGTCTTTCCAGCAGCTGCCTTCTGAGGCGCCGGAGTACCAGTCCTGGAAGCCCACTTGATACATTACAGACATTTATGCTCGAACTCTGTTGGCAAAAAACACGGGATTCTTCCATGGCAAGAACCAGCCACGGAATCAAAACATTCAGATGGACATGGGAACATGATTCCGCTCCGCGGTCGTGGTTTTGGTGGTTCATATTTCACAGCTCGTGCCCCGTGGCCCGAGCCGCAGCTTGACCACGCTGCCTCAGCACAATTCCTCGCTTCTCAGCAGCATTCGGAAGTGAGCGAGTGCTCACTTCCAATGTCTTGCGGCGGTTGTATCACTTCATCCCCAAACGAAGGCGCACGAGTTCCGCCACAATCGGCGCAGGGATGAAATACCTGCTCTGTGTGCGACCCTGAAGTCATCGGGAAAAAACAAATATATCATCGACGATCGATGACATTGATGTTGTTTCATTGCATGTTCTCTTCCCAGGGTTAAAACTCCACCCAGTTGAATTTAGTCAGTTCGCTTTATATAACCCTGCTTAGAAGTGAGACGGGTGCCATGTTTATAGCGGTTTTCCAAGCGGGTTGAACACCTAAGCACAAAGCCTCAGTAGTCTGTTTGTCATTTTGACCTCATCCACAGTCCTCAACATGAATCTGAACGGGCACGAGCCAAAGGACGCAGCACGCCGGCACATTTAAGGGGAGGAGCTGAAGGTCCGGACTATTTCGATGTCATCAACAATTCAAATCAAACCACTGTTTCAGATCACACAATTGAAGCTTGGTGATATGCTTCTCGAAAACCACCGTTCTTCATGTCCTTTGGCTTCTCCCTCCCAAGAGTTAGGCGTTACATCCCACTCAGGTTGTCCACTGCAGAGTTGTCAAGTTCAACCTGTGCGCGGAAACAGTCAGAGTTGGCTTTGTTCAAAGCACACGATTCGACTCAAAACGAAAGAGAACTAGCGGAACCCTGTATTCACATGGGTTTTTTGGTTTCATTTTGATTCCTCAAACACCATCGAACAGCGCCCTCGTCCAATTTTAGGGCACTCGAGAAGCCGTCTCCCCAAAAGACGGATGAAGCTCCTTGGCAACGGACCTGCAATAGTGACTCAAGAGTGGTGTTGGATCATCGGTATGCGTCGAAATAGGTTCCCTTGGGTTTCCCTCTAAGGAAACCTGAACACGGGTACCCTCAAAAAACCGCAGGCCCGTGTTTCCAGTGGAATCGCCCAATCCTGTCGTAGTGAAGCTGGCAGATTGAGTCGTCGAGTCCGGGGAGCTTTGTCAAAGGTGTTCTTAAGAAGCCGGGAAAAGCAAACGGCCGGAATGACCCCCATTATTGGATGAAGCAGTGTTTCAGGGACCCCAACAAGCCACCAAAGACCCCAGGTGGTCATGTTTGCCGGTCCGGGGCTCTTGATCGCGTTGGTTGAAGCCAGCCCCATTTGAAACCAAATGGCGAGCCTGCCCCCTTTCATCTAAAGCATCAGATCTGATCACTAATTAGGGATAGGGTGATCAGAGTAACACAATAACTCCCAATTGTCCGCCATTGCGAGAAGTTTGGTCAAGAGTTGCTGGGGCTGCCTTGCGGTGACTGCACATCACTTTTCTCCAGGGTCCATCTGAGCCATACTCATGGTCATGCACCCCTTAGTAGGAACCGTTACGATGCTATCATTACAATGCACCCCTTAGTAGGAAAGAGGGCACTGTTCGATGGTTTTTGAGGAACAAAAATGAAACCAAAAACCCAATGTGTGTGTGTGTGTGTGGTGTGTGTGTGTGTCACAAGTTTGCCAAAAGAACACAATTCAAAATAGGAATCCGCTAGTCCTCTTTCTCTTGAAACGAAGCATGTGCTTCGAGCAAAGCCAACTCTTGCTGGGGGCCCTGTGATGACTGCACATCACTTTCTCCAGGGTCCATGTGAGCCATGGTCAGAAACTCACACTGCGAGTCACGCTCATGCATCCCTACTAAGGAACCGTTACAATGCTATCACAATTCCCTCTTGCGGGGTCCGTGACCGGTTCCAGCTAACCCCAAGTACATGGCACAAGTGCGCCTTTTCCTGCGTGCCTAAGACTTCTATCATTGGACAGCCCCAAGTCCAAAATGGCAACCAACATAAGAGATTGTTGGTGTCCAGAAGGGGTCCAGCAAGGGTCCAGCAAGGGTCCAGCAACCCACCGATTGCACCCAATTTGGGCAACGCGTCACAACGAGCACATGCCTGTCTTTGTGCCTATGCGGCATCGGAAGCTGGGGCAAGCCATGCAGCGTGTGGGGTGACCCACGAGTGAAAATTGCAGCACCCCAAAAGCCGTGTTTCACTGGAGGCTCGCCACACCCAACTTTCGCCCAAACCATGCCACGGAGCCGTTGCGTGCGAGGGCGCCCTTCAAGCACAATCTGCTTGGAGGCGCAATCCCTGGCCTAGGCGAGATGCCTGACCGAGTCCAAGCCCCTGGCACTGCGAAGGCTGTGTCTGCGGAGAGCGGCAGCATTGACCCCAAGCGGTCTTGGCAGAAGTGTCGTGAGGGCACAGATGAAGCCAAGAGAGCACGGCTCACAACACCTTCGAGCCTCACAGCTGCTCTCCAGCCTCTGCTCTAGGGAACCATGCGCTCAATGGCTTGCGTCATCCTCTTGCTCGACCCTTCGCAAGTCTGTTCGGTTCTCGCTGGAGGGAGCTATGGCGCTATGGAGCTATGCGCTCAGAGAATTGCATTTTCTCGTCCGACTTGAAAAGTTTGGAGGAGTGACCCAATCAGAGCAGCCGAGATTTGAACGAGACACGCCCCTCCCCGAGCATCTGACTCTCCTGTGGCCCAAAGCCAATGGCGCAAACGCTGGGATCGGTGCTGGGAACGGCGAGCGCTTCGTTGCCACAAAAAACGACGTGTCAAGGCACGCAGCCCCGGAAACCCCTGAAGCGGTTGCTGCGCCGCGCTTGCAGCCTTCAAGTTTGCTCACAGAAGCTGCCAACCCCCTGGCATGTTTTAAAGTACGCCACAACCCCATTCTTAGTCTAAGTATTTCAGTTCCTTGTAGAAATCAGGGTTGGGCAGACTCTGCTTAAATGACGCGGTTGCGGAGGGGGCGGTGCTCTCTGGAAACCCCCGGGTCGGCATCGCAGCAACGGCAATGACCGGGATGCAGTGTGAATCAAGCAGTGCGTCCCCAGTACGGGGTCAAGCCTCTGCGCAACACTGGCATCTCTCCGTGATTCTGTTCTGCGGTTTGAACGCATTCCACCAGGCGTGATCGAGCCAGAACTAGGCGAAAGGTAAGCCAATCAAAAACTGCTTCACCAGCAAAGCAGACTACTCCATTGTGTGGTGTGGCATTCTGCGTGCTACTCTAAGTCCATGCTCTTTTGTGCTCGAGATTTCCATTCTTGCCTGCAAGTTGTGTCCCGCGTCCCGACTGATGAACATCAACTGCACGGTAACCGGTCCCAGCCGTTCCGCAAACAGTTCCGCGCATGGGGTTTACAGCGCGCGTGGGGGGGCCCGCTTTTTCTCTGATTAAAAAGGCAAATCTTGGTTGTGTATGGGGGCCAAGAGGCGCCTGTTTTAACAATCAATGGCAGTCCTGGCTTAAATCCTGGTTTCAACAAGGGTAGAGCATTGATAAAGCGGCACATTCTTTTGTATGTCTTCTGATTTGCAATTTGGACAACTCTGAGTGCGGTGAACTGGGTCAAGCTCGACTTGGACGTCCGGACGTGGGTGCTCTGCTACCTGCGGTGCTTGGACTTGGACCAGCTAGACCAGAAGAAGGTGAGCCCACGTGCTGCAACCGCAACTTTGGTATGCAAAGCGCGGACGCATCCCGGGAAAGCGCGTTAAGAAACGCAGGAAGGACAGAGTTGCGGACAACCGCGCCGCAAAGCGCCACGCAGCCAACGGGGCCTTCCCGGGTCTCGAGCCGGAGATTGGCGACTGATGGCGCCTAATTTGGATCTCTATCCTTTGGATATTGGGAACTTCAGATACAATCATAGATGGGAGCCTTCTTGACTGCGCATACTGCAGGAACTCTGCTGGTGATGCTTTCAGGCACCCAGGCGCCTGAGTCCTGCCAAAGGCAATGGGGCAGGCAAACCGACACCAGATGCCAGCCTCAACAACACACCGGAGCCTCACCTTTCGCTTGAAAACTGAGATGCGCCGCACTTCTTCGTTGGCGCAGACTTGCATTGGCCATGCCAAACTGCGCTGAGCAATTCTGGAACAGTGGTATCAAATGGATGCGGGCTGGGAACTATCCGCACAGCCTTTGACAGACTAAAGGAAGCTTTGCGGGGGTCAACGACTTAATGCAGCCCCTAACGCAACTTTCGCAAACTCCGGCAATTCCGAAAAATGCAGTTTTGATGGTCAAGGCATCCCGTGAGGATCACTGGCACACTGGCAAGCAGCGCGAGCTGCAACTCGTAGGTCTTTTTGCCCAAATTGTAGCAAAGCCACTGGAAGTCGGAACATCGTAGGGGTCCCGAGTTTGAAGGCCCAGGAGCTTGTTTCCAAGTTACAAGCTGCGATGGCATCACAGACCGAACACTGCAGCATCGCTTTCACATGAGCAAGGGCCAAAATCGGTCATCAAGCTGGGAAGAGGACACAGGTAATTCAGAGCGTCCCCTTTCGGTTCTCAGACTCTAGACGGTTTAAAGGGAAACAACCCCCTAAACGTATTTGTGGAATCCTTCAAAATCTTCACGGTAATTGAGCCCAGGGTCGCGCACAAATTCCACATAGAGGGTGTGGATCGCGAGAACAGGTTGCCTGCAAATCCAAGCATGTTCTTCCTTACTTTAAAGTCAAGCACTAATCAATTCCAAATTTGCTGGCCGCGTGGGAATACTAAGGGCGTTAGCCGCCCTATCGTTCGGGTCGCTGGGGTGTTGGTTGGACAAGGCTGCCCTTTCAGAACACAACGCGCTTTCCCAAGCCATCAAAAGGCTTTCACTCAAGATCAAACCCGGCGCTGAGGGTCTCTTCCCCAGCTGCCTTGTCCGCATCTTCAAGGGCTGCTTGAGTTGAAAGAGGGCCGGATTGTCACAACCTGCCTCTTGGCACCGAAACGGAAGCAAGCAGGCAAAACAGGCACACAGCTCAACAGCGCAGCCAGCTGCTGTCCACATGCTGTTGCAACGTGTGATGTTTCATTTAGACGTAGCCACAGTTGGAAGGTCCTGCAGCAACATGAGGGCTTGAGCGTGCAAAAAAGTGGCCCAACAAGTCAGCAGCCGCGCTTTTCTTGGTCCGAGCACCCGCTGGGCGAGCAGAGTCCCCTTTTCACCTCTACATCACAGGGACTGCCCCCAGCAAAAACAAACAGTTTCCTGCCGGACGACTTGAGATCGGTTAAGCAGCCCTCAACTCGCATGTTTTGAGATAGCACACGGCTCAAAGCACTCAGCCTCTGAGGGTCGCACGTTTAAAAGTCGGCGTTACACAGAATTGCTACATCCTGCCATAATATCCAAGCTTCAGCGCAGAGACATGTGGGCCAACACGCACACAGGCGGATTCCTCCCATCCCTGTGTTAGGAACTGTGCGATGTACCAGCGCCCGCTTCCACAAGCACGGTTCCGTCAATGTCCTATAGATGGGTGCTTTGACATGCAGCAGCCAAAAGCTTGTTTCCAAGTCACAAGCCGTGAGGTGTCACAGATTCCACTCGCAGGAAACTGCAACATCATTTTCCAATGGAGCCAGGACTCGATTGGTCTGATCACAGCCCGTCAACTGTCAGAACGGACTGCAACAAAAAAAGGTTGAGCACGCCAAGGACACTTGCTTCTAGATCGCAATCTGGGGCAGCTTGAAGGTTTGATCTGCACATCTGCTCTCCGAAGCCATCAAAAGCCTTCACTGATCAATCCTGGCGCTGGTCTCAGCGCGGCTTGCGAACCCCGGCCAAAGATCGCGACCAAAAGGCTGACTACTTTTTTGCCGTTTTACGTGACACACTTAGCATCATAAACTTGCCTCAAGATGCAATGTTGTGTGACAATCGGTTCAAAAGGCGCAAAGAAACTAGTCGCAAAGACTGGTATGATGCAGGTGAGTCTTTCCAGCAGCCGCCTTCTGAGGCGCCGGAGTACCAGTCCTGGAGGCCCAATTGATACAGACATTTGTGCTCGAATCCTTTTGCAACAAAAAACGGCCGGAATATGTTTGGAGGCGAGCAACTTGGCGCCAGTGTAGTGATCAGAAGTTGGGCAGCTATTGAAACTGCGCTCGCTTGCGCGGAGTTGCGCCCGAGTTGGGCCAAATAGCGGCCGAAGCTGCGCCGAATTGCGCTCGAAGCACGCGCCAAATTTCCGGCCAAGCCGTCTTCAAAACTGTTCGTTTTCTAGTTGGGCAGAACAAAACGCTAGAACTCTGAATATGCAATTGAGCACTTTTTGGTGTGTCAATTGATTCTCCAGGGTGATGTTCGGCAAAGGCTAAGAACGCACGAGGATCCTTCATGGATTCCAACGCAATGTTGATGTTCGCCCAGCTACGATTTGTGCATCGTGATCCATTGTCAGAAGACTCCGCGGTTCTCACTTTGGCAGTTTCTTGGGAGGAAACCAATGCCCCTCCCCTCTCGCCACGAAAAGTTCTTAGAACTTTCTTCGAAGGGGTTCTGAGACTATTTCTGAGGACCTTTTTGAGGCGGGCCCTGATGCTTCTCATCAGCTTCCGCTGGCCAGGCGGGGGTCTTCCATGGCAAGAACCAGCCACGGAATCAAAACATTCAAAGGTCCCCTCGGATGGACATGGGAACATGATGTCGCTCCGCGGTCGTGGCCTTGGTGGTTCATATCTCGAAGCTTGACCACAATGCCTCAGCAAAATTCGTCGCTTCTCAGCAGCAGCATTTGGAAATGAGCGAGTGCTCACTTCCACTGTCTTGCGGCGGTTGTATCATTTCATCCCCAAACGAAGGCACACGAGCTCCGCCACAATCGGCGCAGTGATGAAATAACAGCTCTGCATGCGACCCCCGCCCCCCACTACCAGCGGTCCGTGATTAAAAGGCGCCATGCAAAGGCGGGGGGTGCTCGAAGTCAGCGGGAAAACCAGTATATGACCGATGACATGATACTGTTTCATCGCATGTTCTCTTTTTTCAGGGTTGACACTCCATTTGAATTTAGTCAGTGAGCCTTTTATAACAGGGGTTCGCGGGTTGAAGACCCAAGATTCAAACCTCAGCATTCTGTTTTGCAATTTCGACCCCATCCGCAGTCCTCAACTGAATCTGAACGCGCCCGAGCCAAAGGGTGCGGCGGAAGCTCTCACCAACAATCAAACCAAACCATTGCTCCAAATCACACGTTCTTCACCTTTAGCTTCTCCCCCCCCAAGAGTTCGGCCCTACCTCCCACGCAGCTCATCCGAAACAAAGAGCACAAGCTGAAGGACCAACGAGAAATCTCCCCAAATGCAGCTCCTGCTGAACAAAATGTTGGGTGCGATGCATGGAAAACGGGGAGAGCCTTAATGGAACGCAGGTGTGTAAACCGTTTGTAATTACCAAAGAAAATTTCGAAGGAACTTCCGTGTTCCGGCGGCTAATAATTACTGAAAGCTTATAGCTCTCTGAGACAAATGACAAGAGAGGAATAAGAATGCCGGGGAAAATGCGCGCGCGTGCGGCGGGGGAATAGAAGCGTTGCAAAGGTGCAACCCTCTCGGGGCTTCAGTGCTTCGGGATGCTCGAAGAATTGGAGCACGTTCGGAGCGGTTGCCCGATGGCACGAGAGAGGGGCACTATTCGCAACGTTGGTGCGCATGGCAGGCGCAGCACTTTCGCAAAGAAAGGCACAGATTGTGGCAGGCACAGCACTTTCACAAGATCAAGTCTGTGGCAGGCCACTTTCGCAAGATCAAGCGCAGCACTTTCGCAAGATCAAGTACAGATTTCGCGGTAGGCGCGGCACTTTCGCAAGATCAAGTACAGATTTCGTAGCAGGCACAGCACTTTCGCAAGATCAAGTACAGATTTCGTGGCAGGCACAGCAGCACTTTCGCAAGATCAAGTACAGATTTCACGGTAGGCGCAGCACTTTCGCAAGATCAAGTACAGATTTCGCGGCAGGTGCAGCACTTTCGCAAGATCAAGTGCAGATTTCATGGCAGGCGCAGCACTTTCGCAAGGTCAAGATAAGAATTCGCGGCAGGCGCAGCACTTTCGCAAGGTCAAGCACAGATTTCGCAGCAGGTGCAGCACTTTCGCAAGGTCAAGAAAAGAATTCGTGGCAGGCGCAGCACTTTCGAACCGTCAAGTGCAGATTTCGTGGTAGGCGCGGCACTTTCGCAAGATCAAGTACAGATTTCGTAGCAGGCACAGCACTTTCGCAAGATCAAGTACAGATTTCGTGGCAGGCACAGCAGTACTTTTGCAAGATCAAGTACAGATTTCATGGTAGGCGCAGCACTTTCGCAAGATCAAGTACAGATTTCGCGGCAGGTGCAGCACTTTCGCAAGATCAAGTACAGATTTCATGGCAAGTGCAGCACTTTCGCAAGGTCAAGATAAGATTTCGCGGCAGGCGCAGCACTTTCGCAAGGTCAAGCACAGATTTCGCAGCAATTCTGGTCAGAAGCGATTCACAGACTTTTGCGCTTGACCTTGCGAAAGCGCTGCACCTGCCGCGAAATCTGTGCTTGACCTTGCAAAAGTGCTGCGCCTGCCACGAAATCTTTTCTTGACCTTGCGAAAGTGCTGCACCTGCCGCGAAATCTGTGCTTGACCTTGCGAAAGTGCTGCCTGCCACGAATTCTTTTCTTGACCTTACCCTCTTCAGGTCCTCCCGCCTAGCACAACTTGGCCAGCTGCTTGTCTGTCATCTCCCCATTTTCAAGCCACCTTCAAGAGATGTGTTGAATTCCTCAAGGCAGACTTAACCCCAATTAATTAAACATACTATAGGTTTGACTTTACCTGCAATTGCTGAGCCAAGCCATCTTGTCCTCTTTGCAGCCATACTCCTCTAAGGTCATTGCATGCTCAGCGCTTCACTTGCAATGTTGCTGAACATGGGTTTGCCAGTTGAGCTATATTGAAGCCAGGGTGCACGATTAAACGAGCTAGCTCCTGACCTTTCCTCCGAAATTAGCAAACCCCGTAAGGCCCTCTTTTGGTCACACGCGCCCGGACAAGTTCAACTCACATTGCGCAGATTGTAGAAGAAGATACACTTCCTCAAACAATCATAGAAGTACACAGTTTTTTTCATTCAACAAACATGGAAGTGTACAGCAAATTCCGGGTCTTACATGGCAGTGCACCTGCAAAATCTTTGTGCTAACATAGAAGCTGCACCAAATACGATTTCGGTTCGTGCCAGGGCATCGCCTACGGGTAATCCCCGGGGAACGCTGGGGGACAGTTAAAACCGGTTTCATAAACATGGCACCTACGTGTGTTTCAGTCTGATCCCCAACCCACTCCTAACGTGGCAGCTTACACACCCTGCAGCAAGAAGTTTTTCCGTCACGGTCGCCGCCCAAGTAGAGCGCGCCACTGTAAAATTCGGGAACCCTCACTTTGACTGCTACAGGGGAAACAGGACGAGATCCATGTTAGCTCAATCTTCAGCAAATCAGTCGTAGAAAGCCCAATCGGTGCAAGGGCCCGCTGCTCTTCACAGGAACTGTACACACCAAATGCCAAAGCAATGTGAAAGAGTTGGGACTCAAGACTAGGTTGCGCAACAGCCCATCAAGCTTTTGCAATTCGACAGTCTTGCAACAATGGTCCGAATAGAAAGTTGTGCGCAACAATGCCAAACCTGTTTTGGGTCTGCCATGTTAGTCAGCTTTTCCATAAACTTGACATTCTCCCATTGGAAAGCCGCTTCAAACGGCCATTTCCGAGAAAGAACTTGAAGCAGCAGAAACAAATGTCTTTTCTGAGTTGTGTCCTCTTTGGACCTTGTTGGATTGCATCGACGGGTTTGGCACTCCCCATCAAGACATGTACGGTTGCACTCACGTGGCACTCCTGCATCAAGCCATGCTGCGAAAATGAAAACAGAGGTTACACTAACGTGGCACCCCTAGCAACCGCGGACCCCCCAAACCAGGCTTACATGGTAGCTCACGGCCTGGACATCATTCCCCTTCGCTCCATGTCACGCACAACCCATTCCCCAGAAAGACCGGCCGTTGGTTGTACTTTCCCCGAGTGCTATGTTTTCTATTTTTTTGACCCGGGGCACCGCTTACATGGCAGCTTCTGTGCAACCTTAGAGGCGATACTAACATGATGTAGGTTTTTGTTTTTTTTACTGGGGCCGACTATGATTGTTGGAGAAAGAGTACTGCCCAGCTGCGTTACCCTGACTTTGCAAAAGTTTTACTCAGAGCTGCCGAGGCTCGCCACACCCACACCCGACTTTCGCCCAAACCATGCCACGGAGCCGTTGCGTGCGAGGGCGCCCTTCAAGCACAGTCTGCTTGGAGGCGCAATCCCTGGCCTAGGCGAAATGCCTGACCGAGTCCAAGCCCCTGGCACTGCGAAGGCTGTGTCTGCGGAGAGCGGCAGCATTGACCCCAAGCGGTCTTGGCGGAAGTGTCGTGAGGGCGCAGATGAAGCCAAAAGAGCACGGCTCACAGCACCTTCGAGCCTCACAGTTGCTCCCCAGCCTCTGCTCTAGGGAACCATGCGCTGAAAGGCTTGCGTCATCCTCTTGCTCGACCCTTCGCAAGTTTGTTCGGTTCTCGCTGGAGGGAGCTATGGCGCTATGGAGCTATGCGCTCTGAGAGTTGCATTTTCTCGTCCGACTTGAAAGGTCTGGAGGAGTGACCCAATCACCGAATCACCCAATCCGCTGCGCAGCCCGAGATTTGGACGAGACACGCCCCGCCCCGAGCATCTGACTCTCCTGTGGCCCAAAGCCAATGGCGCAAACGCTGGGATCGGTGCTGGGAACGGCGAGCGCTTCGTTGCCACAAAAAACGACGTGTCAAGGCACGCAGCCCCGGAAACCCCTGAAGCGGTTGCTGCGCCGCGCTTGCAGCCTTCAAGTTTGCTCACAGAAGCTGCCAACCCCCTGGCATGTTTTAAAGTACCAACCATGCCCATCGCCATGCTCACTTCAATCAGGGTGCGTTCAAAGTTTAGCGGCTGCGTCTATCCCAGCCTCAGAGCATCTGTTGTCACAGTGCTAGTTTTGTCCGCAGCACGGGACAGCTTCTATCCTGTTCAAGAAGACGTACCTGCCGTGCTTTCCTCCGCAGCAGCGAGTGCAGCTGCTGCTTGTATCTACAGAAGCGTTGCTTGGACTTGGAGCAGCTGCAGGACCAGAAGAAGGTGAGCCCACGTGCTGCAAAGGTGGCGAGGCGACAGAATCGCAAACGCAATCCTGACGGCGGGCAGGCTACTGCATCATGGGTTTCGTGTCAAGCTAGCAAGAAGCACCAGCAACTTTGGTATGTGCATACGCGTGCACGCATCCCGGGAAAGCGTGGTAAGAAATGCAGGAAGGACAGAGTTGCGGACAACCGCGGAGGAACCGGGGCCTTCCCCCCAAGGATGTCGACTGATGGAAACTAACTTGCGATGTCTATCCTCGGCAGATGAGATTTCTACACTTGGTAGGATATTTGGCATTTCAAATATAATCACAGAAGAGGGATATTGCAGCTGACAAGCACAGGCCAAAACACGCTCCCAAAGCTAGCAGTTGCTGGACAACTGTAGCTGGCTTGTCGACATGTTGCAGCTGACAGCAACCTTTTGGCTTGGTTTTCTGGAGGGTTTCTCTTCGGAAACCAATTTCGACCCAAGGGTCGAACCTCCTTTCCCCAAAAAAGGTAAGCCCGGAAGTGAGCGTGGTCGCTTAGTTGTGTCCATATTAGGTCCACATTGATCTCGATACACATCGGGTACTGTGTCGAAGGAATGTGGGGAGGCCATGGAAGGGTGCAAGTATGTCATGCACACCGCCTCGCCTTTCAAGCAAGAGCCCAAGATGTGGGAGGGGCTTAGAATGTGTCCCTGGCTGACGATGAAGCGTCACGGCAGCTGCAGCTGATGGCAGTGTGTTGAGTTTGAGACTTGACATCCTAAAGCAAGGCCGTACACACTGGTGACTTCTCATACTTCACCTAACTTGATGCACTTCGGATTGATTCGGAGGACTGACTGTCCCACAGTCCCTGAAAAGCCAGCCAGATCCACCATGGAAGCCTGATTGAATTCTTGGAGGTCTCTACATATCTCCAAACACTGGACGTCAAACGAGATTGCTAAATGGGGCGACTCTTAGAAAGCAAACTTTACTGATTCACGAACTGCTTTGCATGACCGTCCTAGTTTGCCATGCTGCGATGTCACAAAGTCAACTCGGCGGACACTGCAGCTCGATCCATCTGCTCAAAACCGTCAACTGCACTTGTTTCATGACCAAACTCCGGGGTAGGCATGCAGGCGCCCAGCCTGCGTCTGAGTCCTAGCCAAAGGCAATCGAAGCCGGCCCCGCACCAGCGCCTTCCCCTATGCTACATGTGTTGCTTCTTGGATTTCAACCCGGCTCAGAGCATGCAGTGTCTAGCCTTTGAGGACCTCACGTCTGAAAGTTAGCATCAGGACTGTTTTGATCAGCACCGCATAGAATGTGGACTGCTAAAAACGACAACCGACAGCCCTCGGCCGAAGAGCCAGGGACCCGTCAGCAAGCATCATGAGAGCAAGCAGCAGGACGGTACGGCGCCATCGACTGCCGACACGTCACGCGCTTTGACATGCTGCAGCCACAAGCTTCCGTCCAAGTCGCAAGCTGCGAGAGCGCTACAGATGCAACCTGGTGGACGCTGCAACAGTAAAATCGCTTTTCAATAGACCCAGGACGGGGTTGGTCTGTTCGAAACCCCACTGCACTTGCGTCCTGGCCGAAATCTAGCAAGGCAAGCATTCGGGCATTCAGCCTCCAGCGTCCCAGTCCTTGCCAAAGAAAATGGAAGCCTGCAGCCCCCTCACACAAGCGCCTGCCTCCATATATATGCCACAGGCTGGCCTATACTGGAACCATAAAGCTTTGCTACAAAACATGCGTTCAAAGCCGCACTTTTCAATAACTGGCTGGAAGCCAAGGCGGTGAATGTGGCAGTACCAGGCGCCCAGCCTTCAGAATCCTGCCAAAGACAATAAGAGACTATAACCCAGGCGCCGTAGGCAAACCTTCCAACACCATCTGATTCAAGTCCCCACGTCTGCCAGCCGACACCAACCCTGATGCTGGGCACAAACAACTTGCATGCGCAACGCCAAACTGCGCGCAATTCTGGAAGAGCGCTAACAAATGGCCACAGGCTGGGAACTGTCTGCCTGCATGAGGGGATGTGAGTGGAAGATCTGATGCTAGAAGACTGTGCGACAAAGAAACCAGCCCGCCAAGACTGGCAAAGTGCAGGCCAAGCATGCTCCCCCGCCTTTCCAGCAATGCAGGCGTTGGAAACTTGGCTCCTGATTTGCTCTCGCAAATGCGTGTTCTCCTTCAAAAGATGAGGGATGACAGTGAACAGCTCAGAGCATGCAGTGTCTAGCCTTTGAGGACCTCACGTCTGAAAGTTGGCCTCAGGACTGTTTTGATCAGCACCGCATAGAATGTGGACTGCTAAAAACGACAACCGACAGCCCTCGGCCGAAGAGCCAGGGACCCGTCAGCAAGCATCATGAGAGCAAGAAGCAGGACGGTACGGCGCCATCGACTGCCGACACGTCACGCGCTTTGACATGCTGCAGCCACAAGCTTCCGCCCAAGTCGCAAGCTGCGAGAGCGCTACAGATGCAACCTGGTGGACGCTGCAACAGTAAAATCGCTTTTCAATAGACCCAGGACGGGGTTGGTCTGTTCGAAACCCCACTGCACTTGCGTCCTGGCCGAAATCTAGCAAGGCAAGCATTCGGGCACTCAGCCTCCAGCGTCCCAGTCCTTGCCAAAGAAAATGGAAGCCTGCAGCCCCCTCACACAAGCGCCTGCCTCCATATATATGCCACAGGCTGGCCTATACTGGAACCATAAAGCTTTGCCACGCTCACGAACGGGGGCATGTCCCGGGAAGATCGCGCTGGTGCAAAGCCATGCAAAGCCTCTATGTTTGGAGGGTCTGATGTCTGCAAGTAGGCGGCAGGATCGTTGACTGTGTCATGGTTGAGTCAAACGTTGCACGGAAAGCAGCGGCACGGTGTGGTGAGCTGCGCAAAAAGCATGTTCCCCCGGCGTTCCAACAATGTGAGCATTGGACATTTGCCGCCCAATTTGCTCTCCCAAATACTTGTTCTTCTCCGAACCAGAAAGGATATAGCGCACGCAACGCGTAGCCTTTGAGAACCTTGCGTCGAGAAGTCGGCGCAACGACAATTGCGAAGCACAGTATGCGGGCTTCAGCGTGCAAAAAAGTGGCCCAACACTGAGCCAGGCTGATCCCTCCCATCCTTCCTCTCCGAACACCATGTCACGTACCATGGTTTCCACAGCGCAGAATGTCGATACATCGGGAGCTTTCACACGCAGCAGCCAAAGCTTGAATCCAAAGTCACAAGCCATCGCGTCACAGATTCAACTTGCGGAACAATGCAACATCGCTGTCCTATGAGCAAATAACCTGGAGACAAGCGAAAGAACACATGCGCTCATTGGGCGTTTACCAGATCCTCATTCATCACTAAATTATTGAGCTGTCAGTTTTCCTTCGTTGGAATGGATTACAGTTGAAGGTCCTGAATTCGGAAAGTCAGATGAAACCTGCAAACAAGAATGCGGTTTCGCTTTGGCCATCATATCAGGGCGTTTTATTCACAAGAAGGGGCCGCGAACGGGCCCCCCACAGGGAGACTATTCTACGGGACAAAGCCTAGAGGTTCGGGTGCAGAATGACCTGTGGAAACAAAGCTGAAACGGCGAGGAGCGGTGTGCAAACGCGAGAGAAACGCCCGCCCCTCCAAAAAGCCAAGCGTGCAACGTCTCTGCTTGCGATGCTTTCAGGCACCCAGGCGCCTGAGTCCTGCCAGCAATGGGCGGCTATGGCCAGGCAAACCGTACGCCATCTGATTGAAGTCATAGCTTGCCAGGCTCAGCTTTTCTCCGAAGCCTCATCTCTCACCTGAAAACTGCGATGCGCACTTCTTTGACACAGACTTGCATTGGCCACGCCAAACCGCGCTAGGCAATTCTGGAACAGTGGTACCACATGGTTGCAGGCTGGGAACTGTCTGCCTGGCTGAGGGGATGTGAGTGGAGGATCTGATGCCTACAAATTGGCAGTAAGGCGGTGGTGATTTGACTGTGCGACGGCCGAGTCAGATGTTCCAAAGAAACCAGCCCGCCGAGACAGGTAAACTGCAGGGAAAGCATGCTCCCCCGTCTTTCCAGCAATGCGGGCGTTGGAAACTTGGCTCTTGAGTTTCTTTCGCAAATACTTCTCCCAATCAAGGATGACAGTGAACAGCTCGCACGCAGCGGCTTTGAGGGCCTCGTGTCTTGAATTTGGGTTCAGGACTGTTTACACCAGCCCAACCAGTCGAGTGCGGACTGATGGCAACCGACAGCCGGACGAAGAGCCAGGGACCCATCGGCAAGCAGAAGGCAAAAGTCCACACCTTTGTGCTGGAAAAAAAATGTAGTTTCCGCCTTTGACTGGTTGTTCGGGAGATCGTTAGACTTGTTGCCGCAAATTCCTAAAACGCCTAAAAACCCACTGCAATGCGCACAGCCTTTAATAAACTAAACGACTTAATGCAGCCTGCAAATTTGTCCAAACACGCAGCAGCGATCCAAATTTGCGCCGCGCGCAAAAAAACACTCGTGCAAACCTCCCGCACATTGAGCAAACTCAGGCAAATCCGAAAACATGTAATTGGTTCTCACGTTCAAGGCAGTCCATCGGGATCACTGGCACATTGGCAAGCACAGCGAGCTGCAACTCTTATCTCTTGTTGCCGAAATGGCAGCTGCCACTGGAAGTCGGCAAATCATAGGGGTCTCCTGACACACCCATTTCAGAGTTTGAAGGTCCAGGAGCTTGTTTGTAAGTTACAAGCTGCGATGGCATCACAAAAGAAACACTGCAGCATCGCTTTCACATGAGCAACGGGCAAAATCGTTCATCTGGCAAGCGGAAACAAGTGATCCGGAGCGTCCCGGGTCCCCTTGCGGTTCTCGGTCTCTAGATGGTTTAAAGAGAAACGACCCCCTAAGCGTCTTTCTTTAGCCTCAAATCTTCACTTTAATTTAATGAACCCAGGTCACACAGAAATCCCAACATAGAAGGTGTGGATCGCACGAAGGCCAAAAGCCTCCCTGGCAGTGTGGGAATACTAAGAGCTTCAGTCGCCCTATCGGTCGGGCACAAGCTGGGGTGTCGGTTGGACAAGGGTGCCCTGTCAGACACAACGCGCTTTCCCAAGAAATCAAAAGGCTTTCACTCAAGATCAAACCTGCCGCTGAGGGTCTTTTCCCCAACACAGCGGCCTTGCCCGCGCCTTCAAGGGCTGCTTGAGTTGAAAGAGGGCAAGTAAAAAACACACCCACTCATTAGCCGTTCACCGCATCAGATTAGGTTGGAGTGTGGAAAACCATCCGTGCGGTGCAAACAAAGCTGGAATCGAGGCGGTCTTATGCTCGAGCAGCGGTGTGCAAACGCGAGAGAAACGCCCGCCCCTCCAAAAAGCCAAGCGTGCAACATCTCTGCTTGCGATGCTTTCAGGCACCCAGGCGCCTGAGTCCTGCCAGCAATGGGCGGCTATGGCCAGGCAAACCGTACGCCATCTGATTGAAGTCATAGCTTGCCAGGCTCAGCTTTTCTCCGGCGCCTCACCTCTCACCTGAAAACTGCGATGCGGTGCACTTCTTTGACACAGACTTGCGTTGGCCACGCCAAACCGCGCTACGCAATTCTGGAACAGTGGTACCAAATGGTTGTATTTCAGGACATGTTAGCAAGTTGGCGGCAACTCAGTTGGGATTCGACTGTGCGGCCGAGTCAGCACCCACGGGTGCTTTGACATACCGCAGCAAGCTTGCTTCAAAGTCACAAGCCGCGATGGTGTCACAGATTCCACTCGCAGAAAACTGCAACATCATTTTCCAAAGCCAGAACTCGATTGGCCTGACCGCAGGCCGTCAATTGCCAGATCGGACTGCAACAAAATGATGTTGAGCACACGGGCCAAAGTCTGGGACAGATTGAAGCTTCAGAGCCTGGGCCAGGGCCGGGGCAGTCTTGCTCTCACAAGTCATCAAAGCCTTCACTCAAGATCAAACCTGGCGCTCTCCCCACGTGTTCAAAGGCCAATAGGCAACTCCTCGCCACTGTGCTACAATTGGAATCGCCAACTTGCGTCAAGATGCGCAGTCGGAAAAATGCGAGTGGTAAGATAGAGGGAAGGCATGGTTCTCAGCTGCGCCTGAAGAATAATAAGAATGCGCCGATGGGTCTTTCCTTGCCACCTGGCGTGCCAGAGAGGGGAGGTTCTCCGCTGGTACGAGTGAAAGGTGTGTCTCTCACGGCCTGGCGTCAGCAGCTGTTGGCGCTGTCTTCCCACCTGTAGTCTCCCTGCGTGCACTTCTTGTTTGAAGCACAGACACACGCTGACAGCACAGCTGCATGCATCCTGAATGGTCAGCTTGATGTTTGTGCGGGACCCTTACTGTGGCAAAGAAACCAGTTGCAAAGAAGTGCAAGATACAGAGGGAAAGCGTGTCTCTCGGTGCCTGAACCCAAAGAATATGCCGAGTGTTTCCGGCAGTCTGGCGGCGTGCCGGAGTACCAGCGATCTCCACAACCTATGTACGAGGATGACCGTTCATGGTTGCGAACGCAGTAGCTTTTATATTCGCACAGCTACGATTTGCGCCGTGTTCCATCAGAAAAGTCGGCGGTTCGAACTTTTGCCGTGTTCTGCGCGGAACCACTTCCCCGAAAGGTTCTTAGAAATTTCGTAGGGTTCTCACATTTTTTACGGGAGTTTTCCTGGCGGGTAGGGCCCTTTCATTAGCCTCTGCTGGCCTTTTGCAGGGGTCTTCCATGGCAACTAAAAGTCGCCTGCGAACATGGGAACGAGCCGATTATGAACTGTCTTGGTGGTTCATAGTTCGCAGCTCGTGCCCCATGGCCCGCAGCACAATTCCTCGCTTCTCAGCTTCAGCCTTGGGAAGCGAGCGAGTGCTCACGTCCAATGTCTTGCAGCTCTTGTCTCATTTCAGCCCCAAACGAAGGCGCACGAGTTCCCCCACAATCGGCACAGGGATGAAATAACTGTCCTGTATGCCACCCTCGCCCCTCATGAGCGGTCCGTGATCAAACGACGCCATCCAAAGGGGGTGGGGGTGTTCGAAGAAAGCCGGAAAACCAAGTGTATGAGCGATGACACTGATGTTGTTTTGTCCCGTGTTCTCTTCCCAGGGCCTTAACTGCACCCATTTGAATTAAGACAGTAGGCTTCATATAACCCCTGCTTCGGAGCGAGAGTTTATAGCCTGTTTACCAAGCGGATTGAACACCTAAGTACAAAACCTTACTCTGCTTTTGTCGTTTTGACATCACATCAACCTAAACACGTATCCGAGCCAAACGAAGGGCACGGCACCGGGGCGTATGAATCCAGGATTCATGTAGTCCTATTTCAAGTATCGCAGGTCATGATCAAAGATTCAAACCAACCATTGCAGATCACACGATTGGAATTTAGTCACATGCTTCTCGAAACCCACACTCTTCATGTCCTTTGGCTTCTGTGCAAGAATCAGGGACCCCGCAAACCACCCCCCCCAACAATTAGGCCTTACAACCCACGCAGCTCTTCCACTTTTGAGCACAGGCTGAAAAACAAGAAATCTCCCAGAGGCACAGCGTGGGCCAAAGGCTGCTGGAAGCACATGTAACGAAGTGACGTTTTGGAAGCCTTAATGGAACGAACGCAGGTGTGTAAACCGTTTTCTTGGATGGAGCCACTATGATACAGGATATTGCTGAACCGTCACTTTCCAAGACTGGTCCAAGGTTCTGACTGCAGCTCCGCCATCAGTCACTTGCTTTCAACACCATAAGGTTGACACCTAGGCAGAAAAGCGCCTTTCTCCCCTGCCATTCCTTGGTCCTGCTTCAAGTCTGGTTTGCCTAATATGCTGCATGGATTCCGCACACGCGAGTCCCAAAGGCTGCAACTGTGGCAAGTTAGGAAAGAAACGCTGCATCGAAATGGCCCGGTCGCTGGCATTTCCACTTTCAAGCCACCTTCTGGGAATGTGCGTTCAAGGCACGCTCAACCCCAAAGAAGTCTGTGCAACGCCGCCGCAGCAGGTTGTGCGTCAGCAACATAAACAACATAAGTCCTCGTGACCCCATACCCTGGGGGCAAACATCTTCCACTCCGAGCCGCGTACATGCGCCAGTCCATGTTGATCTTCGTTTCAAGCGGTTGAAGGGATACCATGTCAAACGTAGCCAAGCCCAAGAAAGTGTGGCTCACTGCTTGGCACGCTAACTTTGCAATGACTTGCATTTCAGCAATCCTACTGGCCTGCAAACGAAAAGGGAATCCCGCAAC